CCACCCAGAGCCTGCTAGGTAGCTCTCCCCTGCCCCAGTCTGTCCCCACAGCGACCTGAGCTGTGAGAGCTCAAGATGAGGACGGAGCTGATTGGTCTGTGGAGTCCTGCGAGCACTGAGCAGGGGTCCCTAGTGTAACCTCACACGCACGACCGCAGCGCCCGTTGGTGGAGCATTCATTTGGAAGGGCGGCATGCTCCTCAGCCCTTTATGTGTGTTTTTCATTTTATCTTCACAGCAGACATGCAAGGGAGATACTATCTTCATATTACAGATGAGAGGTTTAGAGAAGTTAAACACTTTCCTAAACTCATAACTGATTGAGAAAGTTGGTGATCTTTCTACTACATCACAGCCGCCTTCCCAGTTTCTCCTGCTACCACAGTGGACTCTTCTCATTCCAGTTTTGAGGAGGGGATACCCTTTCACCTCCGGGCTGAGGCTCTGACTCTTCTTTTACAGAGGGACCATATGATCCTTATTTTCTAAGATCCCAGTTCACTGGAGGAAAAAAGAGCCACACAGTGGAGGGGGTGGCAGGCTGAAGGAGTTCCCTAATCCAGGACCCCAGCCAGTCCCTGCCAGGAGTGGAGGGCGGGACTCTTTCTCTCCTACCTCCAACTCAAACACCCAGTGAGGAAACTGGTTCCTCCCAGGTGAATCACTGCTGTGCATACAAGCAACACAGAGCAGAATCAGCCTCTCAGGGAACCAGAAACCCCTAGAAAGGGAAACTGAGAGTGGGGAGAGGGGGACTGGAACTGACAGTCACCACAGCTGTCTCCAACTTTCCTTCTTCCAGTTCTGCCTGTCTCATTTGGAGTCTTCATTTAAATTTCAGTCTGCACTGAACTTCGTAAAAGAATCAGGCACAGTTGAGGCCCAGGGGTGTGAACAGCTCTCTTCTGGGTCCTTCTCCCTCTAGGAGAAGCCTGGTGAGAAAGAGGTCTCTGCACTTGCCCAGCCTTATCCACTCCCAGCAGGCTCAGGATTTACTGTTTCATTTTCAGGCAAATGTTGAACATCTGGTGCAAAAGATGAAAACAACTGTGAAAAGGGGCTTGGTGTTAAGGTAATTCATCCATGGTATGTTCCTAATAGAAGAGAGAAAATAGGCTTTGGCCCTAGCCCACAGAAGGGATCCATGGTTGGGATCCACAGGTTGAGGAATCTGTGGATACAAAGGGAGAGAACCTGAACCACGGGAGGAGACAGAAGAAGGCAGAACAAAGCCTGCAAAGACAGAAAGGGGGGGTGCAGGGCTGGGGAGACAACCAAAGTCACGGGCGTTTGGTCTACCTGGCAGGAACGAGAAGTGCAATGAGAACTATACCACTGACTTCATTTTCAACTTGTACTCTGAGGAGGGGAAGGGCATCTTCGACAGCAGGAAGAATGTGCTTGGCCACATGCAGCAGGTAGGGAAGACGCCCCAGTCATGCCCTTCACCAGACAGCCGTAACCCCCACCAGCCTCGAGGCTCCCACTGGCCTCTGATCTGCTGGAGGCTGTCGGTGCTGCCAGAGACCGTGAGCCTACAGTCTTTTACAGTCAGAACCAAAACATCTTTATCCTAGAGGTGGCCTTAGAGATTATGTGGCCCATCCTCTTCATTTAGGGCAGGGTTTCTCAACCTCGGCACTATTGCCATTTGGGGCAGGATAATTCTTTGTCATGGTGGCTGTTCTGCACATTGTAGGACAGTTTAGCAGCATCCCTGGACTCTACCCACAAGATGCTAGTAGCACCTCCACCCTCAGTCATAACAAGTGAAAAAGGACTCCAGACATTGCCAATGTTCCCAGGAGGGCAAAACTGTTTCCAGTCGAGAACCACTGATTGCAGTGAAGAAAATGAGGCCCAGAGAGGAGAAATAATTCTTTCAGGGCCATTTATTAAGCGTGGATGAGAGCCAGAATGCGCCTAGTCATAGCTCTTCCTACCACACCATTTCATACAGAACCTGTGGAATGAGTACAGGCGCCTTGCTGCTGTTGGGCCCCATCTCCACTAACTGGGTTTCAAGGGAAAAGGAATTCTTTTCTCCCACCCACATCCAATCCCCACCCAAGGTAGGCCTCACTCACTAATGGTACTAGTGATCTGAGGCCTCCCCATCCCAAATTTCCACAGCTGATGCTACTTTTAAGCATTGGCCTTTGACCTTTCTTTACCCACAAATTAATTCCCAGTATCTTAATTTGAATGAGCTTATCAGCCCCTGCAGGAATGGGGTACTATTTTATTAAAGTAGGAAGACCTAGTTCCTGTTTTTCCTTCCCACTTTCCTACCTACTTTCTTTTAGTTCAGAAAAAAATATACGTTTTATATTATTCTGAGGTGCTACCAAGGGCATCCAGACTAGGCCACAAGGCACACTTCGATGTCATCGATGATGATGACAGACAAAAGCTGCTAGGTTGAAGAGGGGTAGGGAAGTGACGAAGTGGCCAATGAGACTAGAAGTACATGAATCTGGCAGTTGTGGAGCTAGGAGAGGCCACTATGAGACGTCTTCCCTTTACCTAATTAGTAACTCTCATACCTAATGGCCAGATATGCCGGCCCTGCTCACCCTGGTTCCCAGAACTATTTCAGGGTTTCCTTTCATAATTCGATTTCTAGATTCCTGTTTCTGGCTCTAAACCTGGGGCCCATTCTTTCCTTTTTCTCTGTGTTTCCAGGTATCTCTGCTACTTAATTAGAGTCCTTCCCTCTGTAATTTTTATGATTCTTTTTCTAGGGTGGGAGCCCAACTCCATTTGACAGGAATTTTGCCACTAAGATGGGTGCCAAGGCTATGAACTGGATGACCGGGAAAATCAAAGAGAGTTACCGTAATGGTAGGTGGGGTAAGAGGGTGAGGCCCCTCCACAGAGGCGGGCTCCCCAGAGTAGAAGCTGACACCATCCCTTGTTGCAGGGCGGATCTTTGCCAATACTCCAGACTCAGGCTGCGTTCTAGGGATGCGTAAGAGGGCCCTGGTCTTCCAACCAGTGACCGAGCTGAAGGACCAGACTGATTTTGAGTGAGTACATCTACTTCCTGGAGCAGTTCCCTTCCTGGTAGTTTCAGGGTCTACTTTCCCAGCCTGCTCAGTCTTCAGGCTTCTCTTAGGAGTAACACCTGTAGTTGTACCTACTGATGCCTGTGCCCTGAATCCAGCCTCTTTTGCTCAGCTTCTTCCCATAAGCCTTTAATAGAAGTTGATTTCACCACTGAAAGATTAAATCGTCATCTACCCCATTCCTTTGTAGACACCGCATCCCTAAGGAGCAGTGGTGGCTGAAGCTGAGGCCCATCCTCAAAATCCTAGCCAAATACGAAATTGACCTGGATACCTCAGAGCACGCGCACCTGGAGCACATCAGTCGGAAGCGGTCTGGAGAGGCTCCTGTCTAAACGTCTTTGGAGTGAGGGGAATGGATTGTCTGGTCATGGTCAGCTCACTCCTGACAGATCCAAGTCCACATATTCTCAAGTGTAATTTTAGCTCAGTTTTCATTAGGTTTCCTTTTATTCTGTAACCGTAGCCAAGATCAGCTCTGGCTAGGGGGCAATGAGTGAAAGCTCCTTTTAGGTAGAATTTATCAAGACTTCTACCCCAGCTTCGTCCATCACACAGGCTGGGCTCTTCTAGTGCTACTGCTAGATTTCAGTTACTCGGTTAGAATTTTCCTAAAAATAAGCTTTATTTATTTGCAATAACAAAGTCTTGGTTCCTCTACTACATTTGCTACAGTGGCAGTAACTGCACTAATAAATGCCAACTTGTCACTGTGCTTTTGGATCTCCTGTTGTCATCTTCACAGGTAGTATGTCCAGACTGCCCGGACAGGACACCTGGGGAATGCAGCCCATGTCATCAGCCCATGGACTTCTGCAGCATCTCCTGGCTTTGTACACAGGGTCCTCGAACATAGTGCACTGGTCCTCACCTTCCTCCCTCACTAGTTGCTCCTGCATTCTCTCCAGTCTCCCTTAAGCTAAAGCTGTGTTTCTCCTTTTGATCATATACCTATTACCCAGAGTTGCTTTTTCCCAGCCACCCCATGATCTCTACTCCTCCACTGACAACCCAGGGCTCTCCCTTCTCAACTATTCCTCTATACTCCTTCCTGGGTGAAAGCCAGACTCCATTTATGGGGAGACTTGTATATTGGGAAATTGAGACACCTATTCTGGGACCTGGTTTGGTTGCAGTACTGTTTTGGAAAGATGTCAGTTCTTACTCAGCTTAACTTTTTTAAAAATATGTCTTTATTGATTTCAAAAAGAGGAAGGGAGAAGGGGAGAGATAGAAACATCAGTGATGAGTCATTGATCAGCTGCCTCCTGCATGCCCCCTACAGATCAAGGCTGCAACCTGAGCATGTGCCCTGACCCGGAATCTAACCGAAATCTCCTGGATCCTAGGTCGATGCTCAAATGCTGAGCCACGCCGGCTGCGCCAGCTTAATTTGTTTTCTGTTCCATGACAACAGTTTCTTCCTCCTCATTAGCCAGGTGCCCATGAAATGCAGTTGGTCTTCAGGATTGGGACTACAAATTATACCCCAAATGGTCAGGATGGTGCCCTGTCAATGCCAGGTTTAAGCTTAGCCTTCAATAACCAGATCCTGGCTCTCAGCACAGGCATGCAGAGTCCTCCCAACTCAGTTTCCTCACCTGCCTGATGAAGCAGGAAGAAGGTTCAGGCTTAAAAGGGGTGGAGGAAGGGATTATCTCTAGTATATCACTTTTGCTGGCTCTCCAAAGCATTACTTCTATACCCTAAAAAACTAAGTGTAGTGACTGAGAAGCCATGTCAGAGTCCAGAATTAAAGCAGCCAAATGCCGTTTGTACAGGAATTAACAATAAATATCAAGCACTGTTATCACGGAATCCTCAAAACAGCCTATGAGGTGGGTGGTGATAGCCCCATTTCAGAGATGAGGACACGAGCTCAGGATGATTAGATAATGTGGAGAAAAGTAGAAACAGTAGAAACTGCCAAAGTTGCTTTTATAACTGTTTATTTTTTAAGTAAGCAAAAAAAAAAAACCACCAACAGCAAAAGCAGATACACTTTTTCAAATTAGCTGTATTAGCAGATTGTTCATTTTTATTTGTAGTTCCCAATTGTTTTTTTAAAAAAATTTTTCAAATTTGCATACAGGTCATCTAAGATCAATGATAACTTGATCTAGTTTAGGGACATGAAAAGGAGTGTTTTTGACTAAGTATTGTTCACAGATCAAAACAGATCTTTTTTGGGTAGGTGGGCCATCTCAAAAGAAACTCTTATAATGCTCTTCCTCCAGCCCCCAACTCTATGCCCTTCACCAATATCTTGTATAGATCAGTAAAGAGCAAATTTTCCAAAACTGAAAGAAAAATAACTCCAAGCCCTTAGCAGAGTGAGCTTCATAAAGAGAATGAGAAAGAACCCTGGGAGAAGGCAGCCCAGCTCCTCCCCTACTAAAGCAAACACCTTCCTCTATGGTGCAGGAAATGCCTGCTAAGCCATTAGAGCAAACTGGCTTTCAGGAAAAGAAAGAACTGTATTAGAAGAAAGTTCTTAGGACTGCTTAGAACCTGCTATCCTACTACGTGGAAAGCAGCAAGACAATCTTTCTGAAATAATATTGCTGAATTATTGTAATCCTTGGGCACAACCATGGAAAAGAGGCAAAGACTGCTATTTCTTTTGATGATGAGAAGGGGCCAGTCCCTTCTGAATGCCCCATGAGGTGGCACTCTAGGGATACCATCCAGCCCAGTTCTCAATCTGCATACTATCTGAGGTGTAGTACGTTCATCTTTGGGCCACATGTTAGCTGGAATTTCCTTAAACTCCTTCACAGATATGTTAAAATGCTTCAAGAGGATTATTTGCAGCGTTAATATGTCCCCAAAGGAAAACTGAACACATTCTCTAAGTACCTTGCACTTTTCATCTTCCTAGAGGAGCTTAGGTTGCACTGTTGACTTTTTCCCTAAAGGGAAGGAGGGGGAGACCTCTTCTTCACAGGGTGCAATATAAAAAGCGAAGTAAACAGAAAACAAAAGTGAGAGATTATTTTTGTTGTTGTTTGGTTGCTTGGCTTGGGGAGAGGAAGTGATGTGGAGGTTACTGTTGTGACATGTTGCCTCAAAATATAAACCACACAACAGGGACAGCTGCTTTTCCTGTTTCCCAAGACAAAGGGACAGTAGAAGTGCGAGGAAAACCTCACCCAGAGTTGCCTGCTTGATGGTGCAAACGTCTTCTCCAGGCTATTCTATAAGTAACAGGTATTCCTTCAGAGAAGCTGGCAGGGGAAGGCCCTTCACTGCATCTGGCAGATACTGGAGTCCCAGGCTACGGCGCACAGCATAGCGAGAGAGTGTTTTCAGAGTTCCTGGGGCTGAGCACAGAACAGTCAGTTTTTCACATAGCTGCTGGTCTCTGGCCACTTCTCGTGGCATGGTGCCATTTTTCCTCAATTCAAAGTGTCCAACAGCCCTGTGGAGGAGCTCAAAGCAAGAGTCCTCTTTCTCAGTTCCAAGTCCCCTGACTAGCAGAGCCACCAGGCGGGAGATGGGTGTCTGGCCTTTTAGGTTGATGACTCTGACCTCCGCACCATAGTCAAGAAGGATGCTGACGCTCTCAAGATTTCCTTTCATGGCAGCCCAGCTGAGTGGGGTGTCATTGTTGTAATCCAGGGCATTGACAGAGGCCCCGCTCTCTAGGAGGGCCCGCACACATTCAGCATTGTTCTTAAAGGCTGCCCAGTGCAGTGGGGTGTCTCGGTTGCCATCCAGGGCATTGGGGTTTGCACCATACTCCAATAGGACCTCCACGCAAGCTTCATCCTTCTCAGCTGCATAGTGGAGGGCTGTTCGGTTGTAACCATCGAGGGCATTCACCTGAAGAGAGGGAGGAACTATATTACAGTAGATAGACTCCTGAGGACGACAGGCGGGCAGAGAAGCTTGCATGTTTATCACTGCCTTTGCTTGTAATGTTCCGAACAAGAGGGTCAACGAGCAATTCCCAGGGTACCTTGGCGGTCAAGGTGGAGATATGACAGAAGCTTAGGAACAAATAGAAAAAGAACTGCCCCCAAACAACCAGCACTGTTATGTGCTTTGATTGGCTGGCCTGCATTATTTAGGAGTTTGCTGCTGCTGTTATTGTTATTCACTAGAACCTCTACCAGAGAGTAAGGGCTAAAGAAAGAGAAGATGAAGTCTGAGTCCCTGTAACTACTCTGAAAGGCCCTGACTGGAAAGCAGCCTGAATATACCAGCCAGAGTAAAGGTTCTGGATCATCTGACTTATCCTGACTCATCCTGTGGCTGAGGGCAACCGGACTGAAAAATAATGAGGCCAAACAAAGCTCTGCCCACATAGTTCTGCTGTGCTCTTTAGCCACACAGGGAAGCTCAAATTGTTAGTCCAAGTGAGCCCCTTGCAGAAATGTGCTGTGGAGTCACAAGAGAACCTGGATGAAAGCGTGTGGAGGAAAGAGCCCAAATTTCCCAATGCTGGAAAAGCAGCTGGCTTGCTAAAAATCAGCATCACCTGCAATATTTGAAGGCTACAAAGACTTCAAAACCCAAATTTATATATAGTATATTATCTTCCCTCATAAAATACAATAAAGAAAAACAAACATTTTAACTCACTTCAACCTGTTTAGCTAAAAACTGTCTTTTCCTAAGATATTTTCACTTACATCATTGACAGTAATCACTGGCTTTCATTTCAGGGTCACTCACAAAAGCTATGGAGTAGATAATGACAGTAGAGGACAACATGGCTGTGTGGAGATCAAATGCTGGGGCTGCCCCTTGGGCTCACTGACCAGTGTGTTTGGGGCCTGCACACCAGCTTCATGGCATGTCTGATTCAAATTAGCGCCTCAGCATATTCACGTTAAGGTTACTCACCTAGAGTCAAAACGGCTAATATATTTATTTAACAAGCAGTTAGCAATTACTACATGCCAGTGCTCTAAACACTTTACAACCTTATAAAGAAGATACAGTTATCATCCCCATTTTACAAACAGGGAAACTAAGGCAAAGGAAGGTTAAGTGACTTGTTCAAGGTCACGCAGCTGGAAGTGACAGGTGGAGTTCAAATCCATGATGTTTGGCTCCAGAGTCTATTCTTTTAATCACTCATACTATGCTGCTGCTTGCCAATGCCAACATAAATGAATCTATGGTTTTTATGTTAAGATACTCATATCAGAAGACAGAAGCAAGATATACTAAAACAAAATAATTACTGGGCAGAAATAGCATAAGTCACCCAATATTGAGGAAGGGATTTCCTAATGACATGTATCTCCCAGTGACGGTGGTATTAAAGGTGCACATCTGGTAGTAGGTCCCACATGGTTTAGATTTAATCAGAGCTGAGGGACCTCTTGGACAGTCAATAGGCAATAAAAGGATTAAGTGGAAGTATAAACAGCTCCAAGAGGAAGGCAGGGAGAGAAAGGGGAGATAAAATTCCTTCTGCCTGGACAACTTAAAAAAGAAAGGCAAAGGAATGAAATCTTAGGATGATTTTATATATTTGCCATTACATTTTCCTTTAATATTGGCTACACCAATGTCACCACGAGCTGGAAGGTGGGAAGAGATGGGAGAAGAAAGAAATTTTAAGAAAATGTGGAGCTCGAGTTTTAGTGAATCATTAATATGTGACCATGTTAAGAACATTACCTCAGCTCCCTTTTCCAGGAGTAACTCCACACAATCGGCATCGGACACCATGCAGGCGCAGTGCAAGGGCTTCAGTGTGCCATGGGTGCAGTTCACATCTGCTCCCTACGGCAGAAGGAAACTTCAGTCAGCGTGCTCAACTCTGGCTTATTGAGCAGGATGGAACTCAGAACTGAGTCCAGGAGGAAGAAGGTTCTAACTCTACTGTAAACAGACTAGTGGTCTCAGTTTCTATTCCTAATAATTAAATGACATTATGATGCTAATATTCAAACCAAGTGAAAACACTGACGATGAATAAAAGGGACTGTTAATTCTTTAAATCAAGTTATTTTCTCCACAAGATAGCCTGCCAGAATGTCAGTTAGACATCACTGAGGACATAACCGGATATGTAAAAGTGGTGGGAACCTTATCAGGCAGGAAAACTGGAAAAGCCTTCTATGACCACTATGCTCTGAAAAAGTCAGGAAAGTGAGTCTGTCAGATTGAAGCCAGCAAAACAGGCATGTTCTTTTCGCCATTCAACAGATGACCATCACTAATAGTAAGGTCATCTTAATATTATCTTTTTGTTTACAAACATTTTCAAAGTAGTCTCTTAGTATCAGCATTCTCTGCCATCTAGCCCTTGCTGGTACTTTTTTTCCAAATCTGATCAAGGAGATGGAGATACCACAGTCAGACCAAAGTCACTGAATGACTCAGCAGCAGAGCTAGAATTAGAATGTGACAAAATTTCTCCTTCGGAGCCTTCTGATACCACTTTTGCTAAGAACAAGCTAATGCTGCGTGACTTTTTCTTCTCACCACTGTGCCATACAACTCTGAAGCAGCTACGGAGCTCTAGGCTGTAAATAAGGATTCTAAAGTTGTTAAAAAGAATGTACAGAAGTAACCATCTGGATGCATTTTCTAGTAATCAAAAAATTACCCTGTAACTTCTCTTCAACAGGAATAATATACAGAAAAAGGTAGCAAAGACCTAGGATACACTAGTCACGTAACAGAAATACTGAACAGTAGTGGTTAAATATCAGATACTAAGGTGTTTTCGTAAGTCAAAAATTACCATGCATTTGAGGGGTTGATACTATTCTTTACAGAACTAGAAGTGGTAGCTGTTGTTAGGATAGAAGGCAGGTGATATCTCTCCATGTAATCATAAACCACAAGGATTTGAAAACCACTTCTGCTCTGCTGGTCTCCTTCCTCCCTCAGTACAACATACGTAGAAGACTTTGAGCTTGATGGATCCCGTAGGTACCATATCCAGACAGAGATTTCACAAAGAACATGAGACCAGGGTAATCTAGAACATATTTCCTGAAGGAAAATATCAGATGCTCAAAGTGAAAAGGAGAGGGGAAGAGAAGCAAAAAATAGGGAAAATATATTTCACTGGTCAAGTTAATACATTTAAGAATATGTAAAATCTCTTTGTGATCTTGAGCTGAGTTAAAGCTGCAAGTCTGTAATCTATTAGGATTCCCCAGGAACTTTCCCAGTTCCCCTCCCCAAGGACTCTCGTGTGGGTAACAGCACACTCACCCCTCTGATGAGGTCCTCTACATTATCATGTGGGAAGGAACGAATGGCAGCAATTGTTCGGATTAAGCGCTCTGAGAGAGAGTATTTGCTCTGAATGCTCTGCATAATATACCACATACTGGAACTCATCAAGGCTCAGGGTATGTTCACATGCTCCAAACTGCCTGAAACAAAGAAGTTTTAGGCATACGCAACGTCACTGAGCATACCTGTCCTTAGGGGATAGGAGTCCTTTGAGGCCTTCCCAATACTAAAAGCAGATTTCAAAGAGATCAATATTTAATATTTTCTCTTAATCATAAGGAAAAAGAGTAATAATAGTTGCTTAGGGAGCTGGGTTAACCTGGACATGGATGACCTGACCCTTAGAACCTCAGTTTACTCTCTGACCTAGCCTGGCACAAGATTTCCCCAAGAAACCCCAAAACCCCCATGGAGTTCGGTGTGGTTTAAAACAAGTGTACACAAAGAAGACATTTTTTAAAGGCTGAAGATGCCACAAAACATTCTTTTCCTCCTCTGGATTTTGTGGTCTTTATTATCAGCACCACCTTTAGGTTATTTGATATATTTAGCCTTGCAGTATAGTTATATTCATATGGTTTCTCCATCTAAATTGTAATCAATTGAAAGGCAAGGTCCCTATCTTCCACTTTTTTGCCCACGTAAGGCCATCCACAGAGTCTCACAAAAGTAGGTATTTAATAAATATTGGCTGATTGATTGACTAAAGGGTATGAAAGTGATTGTTACCTGTGAGAAGAGAGGGAAAAGGCTAAGGAACAAATATATTCTGTTAATGACAAAGCATCTGTGAAATAGTTTAAAATATTTTCAGCAAAGAAAAAATGGATTATATTTGAGGTAATATTCTAAAATAAGAAAGAAAAACAAAAGTACAACTCTGGAGTCATCTATATAAAATTAGAAAAAAAATGCAAAGTTTACACCAATGACACATGCAATTGTAGAAAAATAAGCAGATTAAAAATTAAAAATTTTAATAACTGGCCATTTATGACAACTGAGAAATAGATTTGGGCAAATATATGTGTTGAAACCACATGACAGAGTGGCCTAGGATGGAAAAAGAAAATAATGCAATATACTTAAATTCAACTATGATAAAAGTTTTGGCTGTATAACAGCCATTTACTAGTTGGGAAACATTTAAAATTACACCAAAGTGGAGCAGCACTTCAATGAAAAAGCATTTATCAAAAATTGTAGAGAAAATATAGTATGCAGTATCAGCCCTCTATATGTAACTGTTTAAAATCTGTGTTATTAAGCCAAAACTTCCTTGGGGGTAAATATAATGTTCTTTTCTTTTTTTTTAAATATTGATTTCAGAGAGGGAAGGAGAGGGAGAGAGAGAGATAGAAACATCAATGATGAGAGAGTCATTGATCGGCTGCCTCCTGCATGCCTCCTGCTGGGGATGGAGCCTGCAACCGGGCATGTGCCCTGACAGGGAAATCGAACCCGGATGGATAGGATCCTAGGTCGACACTCAAATGCTGGGCCACGCCCCACTGGGCAATATAGTGTTATTTTCAATAGTGCCTGGCACATGGCAGGTTCTCAATAAATATTTGTTGAACCAATGTAAAGTTTATTACTTTGGATCTTAAAAAATTCAAGACTTGTAATTAAACACATTATGCATATGATGATTACTAAGGGAAAAATCCTAAAATTATTTTGGGCATTTCATACTATGTAATTTTTGCTTTTTGTGATAGAGTATCCCCTCATACATTATATAACATACTATAAACCTAGTAGTTTCTATTTTGCTAATCACTGGCCATTTATCTGTTTAAAATAAGCAATGCAAGTAAAAATTATTCAATTCATAGGTATCAATGATTCGAATTGGGAATTCTCCCGTGTTATTATGAATAAGCTTACATACTTGTTTACATGTCTCTCTGCAATTTTCTAGATAGTTTAGAATTGGCATAATCTGTCCAACAGCTGCTGCCTCCTCAGAGACAAGTGTCTGTATCTTATACTTCTTTGTTGCAAGGAAAAGGCAAAAGTGCATTTGAATCAGAGAGTCCAAGGATGGGGGCAGAAGACTGAGCATCTAAAGTGGAAGGCTTAGTCTGCGGTGGTTCTGTTAATCGGTTCTGGGCCATGACAACCTGAAGATGCTAAATAAACCCTGCAATCATTTGGGGGGCGCTCCCGGAACTCCTAACTCAGGATGTGGCCAGTGGTCCTCTGCTGCCGCCTCCAAGTTCCTGGTGAAGGGTGAAGCTCCAGGGCACACTGACAGCACTCACTGTCAGGAAGCGTCAAGAAAACCTAAACTCGACCTAGCTCCCGTCTGCAGCCGTGCAGGGTTTGACCCCCAAGTGACTCCTTTTCTCCGGGGGACCTGAAAGCCCTGTCTACCCCGGTTACTTTCGCTTCGGATCCAGAGAAAACACCAAGGGGTTTTTATTGCGAAGCTAGAAGCAGAGTGGGAGGGAGGCGACATTCAACAGCTCCGGTCCTAGGGAGGCCCCGGCTTCCGCCCCGGGGGAGGCCCTCGGCCCAGCCAGGGGCGCCCCCAGCCGCGCCGCGCCGCCGGGAGAGGGCTCGCGGCAGCTTCGTCTCGCCGCGACTAGGGGCCCGAGGGTAAGGGCACGAAATGCAAGGACGTGAGCTGTCAATTTCCGCGGGTGCTCCCAGCAAATTGCAGCAATCCCGGCAGGTCTCCCGGAGCCCGCACTTCGAGAGGGTCGCGCAATCTGCGCCGCGGGAGCCCCAGGGCCGGACCCACCCCCGCCTCGATCTCCCAAAGGCCGGGACGAGGTCTCAGGCTTGGGGGCTCCGGAGCCCGCGCGGGGAGTGGAGGAAGCGTTACTGGGCACGGCGCCCCGGGCTAGGGACCCTGGACGCAGGCAGTCCCGCAGCGAGGGCCGCACTCACCGAACCGCGGGGTTGAGCTGGGTCGTGAGAACGGCTGTCAAGGAGTGACCCGGAAGCAGAAGTTGTCACCAGCAGGCCCTTCTGTTTACGGGACTTTAAGAGCGACTAGGACGGGCGCCTGCGCACGGATCGGCGTCCGCGGGAGGGACGCGCCTGCGCAGACTCCCGAAGCAGCCTGGGTCCTACGGGACCTGGTTAACGGGTCACTGGCTCCGCTCGCCCAGAGGCCTTGCGCGCAGGCGCAGTGTGGCGCTTGCCGCGGCTGCCGCTGGCCTCGGTCTGCGGCGGGGGGACGCCGCTCCCCGGCCCCGCGGTTGGGCC